TTGTGGAGCTCATGATTACTTCCCTTAATTGCATCATGAAGATTTCCTGAAGTCATGGAGTTTGGGAGAGACTGAAGTCTCTGGTGTGAGGAGGAATGTTGGGAGAGGAAGGAGCAAGTTGAAGTAGGGTCCCACCCCTAACTCTATCTCTGTGCTTATTCTCTCTTGTGTCCAGAGTTTGAGATGTGAGTCTGAGCTGTTCAGCATATTCCAGAGTCTGTGGCCCTAGAGGAGATTAGCCACCTGGCTAAAATTAAGGACTTTCTACCTCCTGCCCCCAATTCTTAAAACAATAGTATCCAGAAAGGATAAGTATGAGAACAATGTAAAATATTTCCTCAGTAACTAAATATGTAGTATTCGTGTTGCTATTCCTTTCTGTATGAATGAATTACCATATAGTATCATTTCCTTACAGGACTTCATTCCAAATTACTCATGGTGAAGGACTGCTAACAAGGAATTCTGTCAGCTTTTACTTATCTTAAAGAGAATATATTTTTCCTTCTTTCCCCCTTTTTGTTTATTATGATATTTTTGTGAAATGTGCTAATGTGGATATAGAATTACATGAATATTGGTGATTGTTTAGAATCATGGAACTGTCACCACAACCAAGATGTTCACTTCTCTACCCTTGCCATAGAAAGTTTCCTCATGCCCCTGTGCTTGATCCTTCCTTCACCCTAGTCCTGTGTGACCACTGATCTCCTTTTGATTATTTTAGAATTTTATATGCATACAATCATATGCAATGTAGTCTTTTTAATAACATAATTATTTTTAAGCTTTATCCATGTTATTTGTATTAATATTTCATTTTTGTTACTAAATATTACTGAAATCCTAATTTATCAATTGGTATATATACTGAAAAGTTGATAAACAAGTGTGTCATTACCAGTTTGGGTCTATTATAAATAAAGCCACTATGAATATTTGAGTACAAGTCTGTGCAGACTTGTTTTCTTTTTGGATAACACCTAAGAATGGGATTGCTGGGCCATAGGCAAGTGTATATATATATATATATATATATATATATATATATATATATATATATATTTAATTATATCAGTAATTATGATAATAATTTTGTTTTATAAATGGGGTATAATATTTTTCCATTTCTTTCAGTAACACATGAGATTTCCAACTGCTGCACATCCTCTTAATATGTGGTATTATTATAAGTGTTTTTTTTTTTTTTTTTTTTTGTGTGTGTGTTTTCATACATGTACTTAGGGAATGATGTCCATCTCATTCCACCATCTTTCCTACCCCCATACCCCCTCCTTTCCCTGCCTCCCCTTTTCCCTATCTGAAGTTCATCTATTCCTCTCCCCCCACCCCCATCCCCATTATGAATCAGCATCTTTATATCAGAGAAGATATTTGGCATTTAGTTTTTTGGGATTGGCTTACTTCACTTAGCATTATATTCTAAAACCCCATCCATTTACCTGCAAATGCCATGATTTTATTTTCTTTTAATGCTGAGTAATATTTCATATATTCCATATATACCACATTTTCTTTATTCATCTACTGAAGGGCATCTAGGTTGGATCCACAATTTAGCTACTGTGAATTGTGCTGCTATAAATATTAATGTGGCTGTGTCCCTGTAGTATGCTGTTTTTAAGTCCTTATAAACTGAGGAGTGGGATAGCTGGGTCAAATGATGGTTTCATTTCCAGTTTTCTAAGGAATCTCCATACTGCTTTCCAGATTGGTTGCACCAATTTGCAATCCCACCAGAAATGTATGAGTGTGCCTTTTTCCCCACATCCTCGTCAACACTTATTGTTTGTATTCCTAATAGCTACCATTTTGACTGGAGTGAGATGAAATCTTAGAGTAGTTTTAATTTGCATTTCTCTAGTTGCTAAAGATGTTGAACATTTTTTTTTTCATATATCATCTTCTGAGAAATGTTGGTTCAGTTCTTTGGCCCATTTATTGATTGGATTATTATTATTTTTTTGTGATGTTAAGATTTTTGAATTCTTTATATATCCTAGAGATTAGTGCTCTATCTGATGTGCATGTGGTAAAAATTTTCTCCCATTCTGTAGGCTTTCTATTCACTTCACTGATTGTTTCTTTTGCTGAGAAGAAGCTTTTTAGTTTGAATCCATCCCATTTATTGATACTTGATTTTAATTCTTGTGCTATAGAAATCTTATTAAGGAAGTTGGGGCCTAATCTGACATGATGAAGATTGGGGTCTACTTTTTCTTCTATTAGGTCCTTGATCCACTTAGAGTTGAGTTTTGTGCATGGTGAGAGATAGGTGTTTAATTTCATTTTGTTGTATATGGATTTCCAGTTTTCCCAGCACCATTTGTTGAAGAGGCTATCTTTTCTCCAGTATATGTCTTTTGGCGCTTTTGTCTAATATAAGATAACGGTATTTTTGTGGATTTATCTCTGTGTCCTCTATTCTGTACCATTCGTCTACCAGTCTATTTTGGTGCCAGTACTATGTAGTTTTTGTTATTATAGCTCTGTATTATAGTTTAAGGTCTGGTATAGTGATGCCACCTGCTTCACTCTTCTTGCTAAGGATTGCTTTAGCTATTCTGGGTCTTTTATTTTTCCAGATGAATTTCCTGACTGACAAGCATTTTTAATGTTGTCCTTTCTAGCTGATGTGAGGTGGTATCTCATTGTAGTTTTAATATGCATTTCTTTGATGACAAGTGAGGATGAGCATCTTTTCAAGTATTTATTAGTGACTTCTCCTGGGAACCGTTCTTCACATATTTTGTCCAGGAAGGAAAGTGTTGTTTGTCTTGTCATTAAGTTGTAAATCTTCATCTCCTCCTTCTCCTCCTCCTTCTCTATGTCATCATCATTGTCTTCTTCTTCTCCTTCTCCTCCTCCTCCTCCTCCTTCTTCTTTATTGGGGACTGAACACTGGAGCACTCTACCACTGAGTTACATTCCCAGTTCTTTTTGAGATGGGTTCTTGCTAAATTGCCCTGGGTGACCTGGAAACTGATATCCTCTTAACATTGTGCATAGGAAAGTCTGGGAGTCCCTGGTCTATGTGTTTCTAGGCACACTGGGACTTCAGGGCTCAGTCCTTGTACCCTCCCTTTTCTATAGCCATTGCTCCCTGGGTGCCCTCATCAGTTCTCAAGGTTTTGAATATCATTATAAGATGTGACTTCCCAAATTTATCTCTCCAGTCCCCAAATTTCTCTAAATGTCTCCAGTCTTGTCTTTCCCATTGTCAACGTGGCCATCTTACCTGAATTTTTAGTGGAAATCTCAGCTTAACATATCCTGAGTATCTGTCACATCCCCTCCTCAGGTATGCCTTTATAAGCATCTACACCATTCCCACTGATTGCAACTACATCTTTCTAATTACACAGTCATATATTTTTGATGTTATTCTTTACTTTTCTTTCTCATACCCAAGAATTAATGCATTAGGAAATATGTAAAGTCCATCTTCAAAAATGTGTGTAGAGTCCAATCACTACCATTTCCTCTGCTCACTTCCCAGGTGACATAACTGACATGTCCATTATGGAGGACTGCAGGAGTTCCCTGCACTTTTCCCCACTGCCTTGTTAACCTATTTTAATTCTGTTCTCAGCATAGCAGCCAGAGTAATTCTTTGAAAACAGAAGTTGTACTATTTTCTCTTTTTGCTCAAAACTGCCCCACTCAAAGAACCTTTCCAACAACCTCTACAGCCTCCAGACTTACTGGAACTGGCTGGGGGCTCTGAGCTCCTCTTAATGACTCTGCTCAGGAGATCACAGATTCCTTGGTCCCCAGAACACACAGACAGGATCCTGCCTTGTGCATTTGCACTGAAGGTTCCTTCTGACTAGAATAAACTTCCTCCAAACATCCTCATGACGAATTCCTTCATGTTCTTCAAATCTTTATTCAGAGGTCATCTTCCCAATGAGGCACATGCTGACCACCCTAGAAAAACAGCCATCTTGCCTGCCCCCAACTCTCACACTCTGGATCACCTTCCTCATAACACTTGCCACCTCCTAACATGAACCATGTTATTATTATTATTATTTATTATTATTATTATTTGCTGTTTAGAGTGTGTCCTCTGCCTCTTTCTCCTAGAACACTTGCCCTACAAAGCTGGAAATTTTGACCTTTTAGACTTCTCTGATGTATCCTAGATGCAAAAATTGTGTATCCTATTCATAGTACTCAATAGATGTCAGTGAGTGAGTGATCACTGTAGAGTACCTCTCTCTTCTAGAAACACTATCTTTTTTTTTTGTTTTCATTCACATATTTATTCCATAGTCAAAATAAACCATAATTTAAAGCCATAAGAGATAAAGTAGAATTTGTGGCACAGGTGCATTAACAAGACAGATACCAAGTCTAAAGTGCAACACTAAACAAATGTTCTCTGTTCCCGTGATGGAGTACACAACAATTACACATAAAATTTCACTAAAGATCTGGGATGAGGCATATAACCCTTTGAAATAAACTGCCCAATGAATACAGGTAGGCTGCAACTAATTGCTATTAACATTTTGCTGTAAGATGGAAATATTCCCAAGGTGACTACTGACTCAAACCCCTCATTTCATGCACCTGGCCTTAGATTCTGTCTTCCATTCTCAGTCACACCTAAATCCAGAATGGTTTTTGCGCTCCATGCATAAAAATGCAATCCCAAATCCCAGAGGATCTCAGCACAGATTTATGTTAATGAGCCTGTGTGCAACCTTCATCCAGAACCTCCAGGGAAATCAGGAGTTCCAAAACACAGTGCAGTGTATGTCTTTAAATAATAGTTTTAACTGTCAAATGAGCCTGACATCTGACAGGCCATATGCATTTCATAAGCAAACCAAAATACTGTCTTCATATCTTTCTCTTTTTTATTTTTTTAAAAAATATTAAATAAATCATTCAAGTCAGAAGTGGCGGGGGGAGAAACAATGAAATTTCTTTTTTTTTTATTTTTTTTTTAAAAGAGAGAGAGAGAGAGAGAATTTTAATATTTATTTTATTTTTTTAGTTATCGGCGGACACAACATCTTTGTTGGTATGTGGTGCTGAGGATCGAACCCAGGCTGCACGCATGCCAGGCGAGTGCGCTACTGCTTGAGCCACATCCCCAGCCCAACAATGAAATTTCAAAGGGTTTATGCCAAAACAAAACAAAACAAAAAAAAACCCCAAAAACAAAAAAACAATCATCTGTAGCCTAACTTCTTTGTTTTTTGGGCTGTGAAGCCATATAGAGGGCAATCAGGCAGTAGATGGTCCCTCCCACAGTCAGGCCCATGGTGGTCTGGTACAGCATTTGGTCAGGAAGGCCTAGTTTCAGGTGGATGGGCACACCATCAGATTTCTGGAAAAACTTCTGTAGCTCTGGAACCTTGTTCTTCTTCGCATAATCATAACCAGTGGGACTAGAGGTCAGTTTAGTCGGTGTGGCAAATATGATAGGTGGTGCTTCTGTGGAAACCACTGGCCTTAATCCTTGTGGGCTATAGGCTTCCAGAGCCCATGCTCCAGTTAATTTCTGTGTGAATCCACTAAATTTGTAATACATGATGCTTGGTGTCTAGCTTCTTGTAGCCGCTGCCTGCACGACTGTCCCAGAGAAAGCTAGAGACACTACCTTTATTAATGTAAATGCAGGACAAATGATGCTCTGTAGCATCTGCAGCACAAAGTCCTTTCACACTCAGGTCATGGTCACTTGGACTTAGAAGTTCTGCACTCTCTGACCTGACTTATGGTTCCTATTTGCCAAGCAAATAAAAATCTATATTAGACTCTACTATATAAATCCAGGAGTATTAATTTGAGCCAGAGCTAGGATTCATAGAGCTAAGGGCAGGGAGAGGACATAAGTGAGTAGAGGAGACAAAAACCTAACAGGAATTTATCTAATATTAGAAATCATGGGATCCTTCCTCTCCACTATTCTCTAAATCTGGTTCCTTTAAAAATATTGGAGAAGCTGGGCTTGATGGTGCATGCCTGTAATCCAAGCGACTTGGGAGCCTGAAGTGGGAGGATCATAAATTTGAGAGCAGCCTCAGTAACTCAGCAAAGCCCTAAGCAACTTAGGGAGACCCTGTCTTAAAATAAAAAATAAAAAGGGCTAGGGATGTAACTCAGGGATTAAGCACTCCTGGGTTCAATCCTTGGTACCAAATATATTGGAGAAATGCTTAAAAATACAATCCAAGAAATAACCTTAGCATGAGGACAAGAGCTGGACATGTCTGAAAATTAATTGCTGGATACCACAGAGAACCCTGTGTGCCGGGACTAGCCTAGGCATTGTGTGACGATGACAGGAAAATAGTTCCTGCTGCTGTCAGAGACAGAGACACAGAGAGGAGGATGAGGCCAGAACTCATATACAAGAATAAGAACAGATATGTTCTATAAATGAATTAAGAAACTAAAAAGGATATGGACTGAAGTTTGGACTCAGGCCAGAGCCTAGGCTTGTACAGCCTCAGAATTCTCCTGTTGCCCATGATCTTGGAGAAAGGACAAAGCCTTTTCAATGTCTGAGTCCTTGTGATCACAGGTTCTGGTGGGACAAGATTCCTCTAAATGTACAAAGATATAAAGCAGGTAAGATGACCCAGATGAGGAGTGACCACATCCAAGCACAGGATGAATTGCCCACAGACTGGTCACTGCCCTGTCCACACTTGGCTATTCACAGCCTTCTCTTGTTCCCACCTGCAACACACTCAGCACAGCAACAACAGATTCTGGAAGGTTTCAGTTTATATTTTCTCTTTCAAGTTTTAGAAATCTTCCTTTCATTTATTAACTCAGTAATAACATATGTTAGCAAGAATTTGAAATATAAATCCATAACCAGATTCTTGTTTTTATAGGGAAGTAAGAAGTTGAAGCTCAGTGTAGCATAAAGTTAAGACAGGGATGGAGACATCCCAGCCCTGTTTTTGCTGGAACAGGAAGGTTGATAAGGAAGAGACCATATGTCAGTGTGAAAAGGGGTCTCAGTGTTCAAGAATGGGCTGGTCTCCCCATTTCTTCACACTATGCTTATAGGAACACAGACTTACGGACACAGTCTGATGTCAATTGAGAAAGAGAAGCCAGGTGCCATCTCTCCCAGTAGAGATGGTGGGGAGACCTGAACAAATCACACAAGGTGACTGTCTCACACTATTAAAGAAAATAATCATGAACAAATTCAGATTAGTCATTGTAAGTGGCGAGTACTTTGAACATCCTCCCACCCCCAACATTCAACGTGTTTAAATCCTGAGTCCCTCACTCCTCACTTCAGGCCTTCCAGGATCTCACCTTTACAAGCTGAGAGGGATTTGTCAGAATGCTGGGCACTGTGCCTGTCTGGAGTAGGATAAAACAGGACTTGGTCAGAGTCAATAGGAGATGTGGCTACAGGAGGAATTATGGGGTGCTTGAGCTCCCACATTAGCTCCCCTTTACTCTTCCAAGTGTCTCAGGGATCACCCTTCTCCATACTTACAGGTGGCCTTAGAGTAGCTCCCTCCTTTTCTACCTGTGAGAAGAAAACATCCTGTGAGAAGGAAGGGCCAGAACTAGAGGAATCTTCTAATTCTGGACCCCACCCCAGAGAAATTTCCAAAGGTATGACTATAGACCTAGGGAAGGATCAGAAGACATGAAGAAAGGAGACATTCAGGGAGAAGATCAAATGCCTTCCTGGAAGTCTGTCCTCATCAGGGAACTTCTCCTCTGACCTCTATCACCACATCATCAGGGTGATAAATCTGTCCTTTATTTTCCATGTGCTTTATAACAGAATATCAGCAAATAGGGCTCCAGGCTGGGAAAGCATGGGTGTGTGGATTCTACTTCCCATTAACCTCCCAGTGGAACAAGGACTCAGACCATAAACTTCCCTACCTGAGCTCTTCTTCCACATCTTGATAGTTACCACAGCTCCAATGACCATAGCTCCAAGAAAAACCAGGCCAACAATTCCCATGATGAAGATGGTGGGCTGAGGATGTGGCTTTAGGAAGGTAAGAGACTGGAAGAGAAGATGTGGTGCCCTGATCCCCACTTCTCAGTCCTGACCCTGCTGAGAAACTACAGAACAGCTCCTGGTTTCCTGACAACAGGCCCAATATTGAGAGCCACAGCCAGGGGCCCCATCAAACTTCCAGCTGATTGGCTCACCTTGGCCCCAGCAAACTTCCAGCTGCCAGCTGATTGGCTCCTCTGGGGTGACGCTCATTGAGCTGTTTCCCCGCCCTTTCAGACCATGGAGCTGCTCATTGGGGCACTCTTGGCTCTGCCCACGCGACCCAGCCAATCAGCCTCAAGAGCAGGAGGAGTGGGGGTTTGAGAGGCTTGCTGTAAGCTGGTGGTAGCAGTTGGGCTCTGAGGGAATTCCTGAAGAGCTCCTGTGGTGCAGGGTGTGTTCTAAAAATAAAGTTTGTTTCTGCTTGATAAGTGGCTCCTGAATTATGCCCAGCCAGACTGCGGCATTCATTAGCCCAATGTCTCCCTCTATGGCATCGTGGGCAAATACCTGGTATTCTACTCCTTTGATACCTAGTTTTGTTAAATCCTCCTCCTATGGGGCAATTCCTTTTAAAATGTCCTGTTTGTTCACAATTGTAGCTTCTTCTAGTGTAGAGAAAATATGTATGTCATGTGTAGTTTTATCTGCTAAATCATTGCCCAAACTAAGGGCTCCAGGCAATCCTGTATGTGCCCTGATATGTCTTATAAAGAATGGATCTTTTCTGTCCCAGATTAGACTTTGTATAGTGGAAAACAAAGAGAAAACAGTAGAGGAAGGGGAAATCCTACCAGCAGCTTCAAGGGATACTATAGCATTAACTATATACTGACTATCGGAAAATAAATTAAATACAGAATCTTTAAACATCACAAAAGCTTGTAATACTGCATTAAGCTCTACCTTTTGAGCTGATTATTTGGGTACTCAAAATGTAAAAGTTTGATCAGGTGTAACTACACCAACGAGCATCACCGCAGAGGAGCCTATCAGCTGGCAGCTGGAAGTTTGCTAGGGCCACGGTGAGCCAATCAGCTGGAAGTTTGCTGGGGCCGCTTGGGCTGTGGCTCTCAACAGCCCAGCACCCTCATCCCCTTACTTACTCCATCTCAGGGTGAGGGGCTCATGATGCACAAGGCACATGTATCTGTTCTCCTCTCCAGAAGGCTTTACCACAGCTGCCCACTTCTGAAACTTTTCATCCCCTGCAGGCCTGGTCTCCACAAGCTCCATGTCCTGAGTTTGTCCTCCCCATCCCGCTGCCAGATCAGGGTGATCTCTTTAGGGTAGAAGACCAGGGCCCAGGACCTCAGGGTGACATCTCCTTCATGGGTAGGGTGGTGAGTCACCTGTGTCTTTGTGGGGGAGTCTGAGAGGAAGAAGAGGAAAATTCAGACAATCTGTTATTACCTCTCCTGGGCCACTGAAGCAGCCCTAAAACCCAGAACCAGCCTGGACCCATGCTTCTGGGATAATCTGTTCCTTGGAAAATTCTATAATGAGTTTGGGACAGTCCACAGTAAGATTCTCTAAGCACCTGAGAGTTTAGGAGTTCCGACCTCGATGGATTAAGAGAGAATCATAAAAACTTGAGTCAAACCTCCAAAGACACCAGCTTGGGGCAGAGAACAAAGCCCAACAGGAAGACTGTGTAGCCCTGTGAGGCCCAAGGCTGAGGCCAGAGTCAACCAGAACTGTTGGTTACAGTAATTTCAGGGTCCTGTTTCCCCTCCAACCACGAAGAGCCTATCTTAGTTTTCTTGAGAGAAGGGCAGGCCTCAGAATCACTCTTTAGCACAGCATCTGGAAAACTAAGAGGGCTCCTTCCTCCAGAAGGTGGGAAGTATCTATTTTCTTGCGGAGAGATCTAGAAACAGTTGAGGCCACACCCCGCAGCTCGTAGTACCTGCTCATTGCAGCATGTTCTTCCCACATTTTCTGTTGTGCCACTCCACACACGGGGTCTTGCGCGTTTGGCCACATCTGCCGCTTCCCACTTGGGCCAGGTGGTTTGAGCAGGGGTGTCTGCTGCAACCCAGAAGCTCAGGGCGATGTAATCCATGCCATCCTAGGCGTCCTGATCATAACCGCGGAAGAGGCGCGCGACAGATCAAAGAGCACAGCCTGACATTCTCTGAAGGTCTTGAGAGCCCGGCCCGCCCGTCAGTCAGTCCTGCCCACTTAACCCCACCCCACCAGGCCCAGCCGAAGGGATTGCTACCTAAACTGAAAATGAAACTGGCTAGGACTCCTCAGGGGCCTTTTCCGGGTCTAGGGTCACTTCGAGGTGTTCCTCGGACCTGGGCATCCGGGATGACTCAGGCCCGCGGTCACTTAGCACCCTCGCTGTGGTTGTAGTATCTGAGCGTGGCGCGCAGGTCCACTCGGAAATTCTGTTTTGTCCTTGGAGATCCGTGTCTCCCGGTCCCAGTACCCCGGCCCCATCTGATCCCCCCACGGCGCCCGCGGCTCCTTCCTCCCACTAACGGTGTCGCTGTAGAAGCCCACGAACTGCATGTAGTCCACAGGAGACGAAGCGGGACTCCCCGCGGCCAGGCCGGGACACCGAGGTGTAGAAATACCTCAGGGAGTGGGAGCCTGGGGAAGGGAAGCCGCTGAGGCAAGGCGCGGCGCGACTCCTCTGTGCGCGGCAACCCGGGATGCAGGTTGATGGCTCACGGAGAGTAGGAAGGGGTGCGGGGGTTCGTGCGACAGAAAAAGGGGCCAGGGGACGCGAGTCAGGGGAGGGACCAGGGCGGGGCCGAAGTGGGGGGCGCCAGGCTTAGAATAAGCGAGGAAAGGACCGGAGCGGAGGTGGGGATTGCCACCTGCGGCGGCTGAAACGCGGCTTCTGGAGTCCTGCGCCTCCGCTGGGCGGTCCCCTCACTCCTCGGTAAAGGTTGTTTCCCTCCTGATCCCGCATTCACCTGCCCAGGTCTCGGTCAGGCCCCCAGCCCTGGAGAGCAGCAGGAACAGGGTAAGGGACCCCAACCTCCGGATTTGGGGACTATCTTAATCCAGCCTGGAGGGTGAGGATTTCAGAACTGAGAGCCACGGAGATGCTGATTGGCTTCTCTTGGAACCAATATATCTGGGGAGTGAGAACTGGAGCCGCGTCTAGAGTGTCCAGGCAAAAGAACCTGACACAGGTTGGGACAGGGAGAAGTGAAACTCCGGCAAGATGAGAATGAGAACCAGAGGCTTTGCCCTGATTGCTCTCCTATTGCACGGAGAGCTGTTTGTCATATCATTTCCTGGATTCCTAGCCCAGGGAGTAAATCGGTGGTTTTCAAATGTTTTGGTTTCTGGATCTCTGTACACTCTTAGAAATTAGTTGTAGGAAAAAAAAAAAAAAGAAAAGAAAGAAAAAGAAATTACTTGTAGACCTCAAAGATGATTATGTTTATGTGAATTATACCTATTGATATTTGACATTAAATTACAATCATTTAAATGATATTTGATTCATTTTGAATATCAATAACTAATTTCATATTAACAAAATATAGTTTTAAAGAGAAATAGTTATTCTTCAAAATAAAAGGATATAATAAGAGAAGTGGATCTTTTAACTTTTACAATTAAAATTGTTTTTATCAGTGCATTATAGTTATACATAATATTGGGTTCATTTTGACATAATCATACATGCTTAGAATACAGTTTGGTCCATTTTAGTCACCCGTATTTACTCTTTTTCTCTCCTCTCCTCCTGTTCCCCTTCCTCTGCTGTTCTTCCTTCTATTCATTTAATGTTTTTTAAATTGGTGCTTTATACATACACATAAAGCTGAAATTCACTGTGGTATATTCATATATGGTCATAGCATAATTTGGTCAATTTCATTCCACATTTTCTCTTTTTTTCATCCCTTCCCCTGTATCACCTTCCTCTACTCCATTGAATTCATTTCTATATTCATGGTATCTCCCCTCTTAAAAAAACATTTTTAATTGGTGCATTATAGCTGCACATAGTGGTGGGGCTTGTTGTTATATATAAATACATGCAAACAATATAACAAAATAATTTGGCCAATATATTTCCCCAGTGTTTCCCCTTTCCCTTCCCTCCTCTTTCCCTTTGGTCCTTTTCCTTTATTCTACTGATCCCCCTTTGATTTTCATGAGACCCACTTCTTTTCTTTTTCCTCTCTAGCTTCCACGTGAGAGAAAACTTGTGATCCTTGACCTTCTGAGTTTGCCTTTTTCACCTAACATAGTGATCTCCAGTTCCATCCATTTTCCTGCAAATGACATAATTCCATGTTACTTTGTGGCTGAATAAAAGTCCATTGGGTGTATATACCATATTTTCTTTATCCATTCTTCTGTTGACGGTTAACTAGGCTGGTTTCATAGTTTGATTATTGTGAATTGTGCTTCCATAAACATGGGTATGCATGTATTGGTATAGTATGATGACTTCAATTCTTTAGAAATGGTATAGATGGGTCATATATGGTGTCTCCATTCCTAGTCTTTTGAGGAAATTCTGTACTGATTTTCATGGTGGTTGTACTAATTTGCAATCCCACCAACAGCGTTAAAGTGTTTCCCCTTCATCCTCTCCAGCATTTATTATTGTTTGTATTCTTGATGGCTGCCATTCTAACAACTGAGATGAGATCTCAGTGTGGGTTTGATTTGCATTTCCCTAATTGCTAATTATGTTGAACATTTTAGGGGCCTTATTAAGAAAGTTGTTGCCTGTGCATTTTTTGGAGTGTTGACCCTGTTTTCTTCTATGGGTTGCAGAGTTTCTGGTCTAATTCCAAGGGTTCTAATTGATTTTGCCAATATCTGCTGTTTTCGTTACTATAGCTCTGTAGTATAATCTGAAGTCAAGTATTGTGATGCCTCTAGCATTACTTATTTGGCTTAGAATTACATTGGCTATTCTGGGTCTTTTATGCTTCCAAATGAATTTTAGGTCTGTTTTTTTTTTTTTCTAGTTCTGTGATGCCATTGGTATTTTGATGGGAGTAGCACTGAATTTATATATTGCTTTTGGTAGCATGCCCATTTTAACAATATGAATTCTGCCTATCCGTGGGAGGCCAACCTTACGGGTGACTGAGTTACACTCCCCAGCTGGGTGCTGAGGCGCTCAGTCACAGAAATGGGTGTATCTTGCTACAGCCCCATGGGTGAAGCTATGCTCACTTGTTCCTTTGTAATATAACCCCTTGCCCTGTTTAGGATAGAATCTTCCATGGAAGGGCCTTGTGTGTGTCCCCTCCTCTTACTGTACCCTAGGGTGTGGCCTACCCAGGTATCAGTCAACCTGCTGACAGTGGACATCATGAAGATAGACTCAGCCCCCTGAAACCTGACCCCTTGCCTCATTTGAATAGCTTCTCCTCAATAAAAGGGGTCAGCATGTGCTCTCGCTTTCTCTCTCTTTCTGCAGACCCTTAAGGTCAGAGGAGCCGTCACAGCGACCCCAAAGAAAAAGGTATTTGTGTCTCTTGTGTGGTTATTTTGCACAGCACAGTTAGCCCAGTTTAACTAGAGTGACCCCTGAGCCTTTTAGTCGTGAGAACAGAAACCCGGCACCTATCCATGAACATGGGAGGTCTCTCCATATTCTGAAGTCTTCTTCTATTTCTTTCTTCAGTGTTCTGTAGTATTCATTGTAGAGGTCTTTCACTTTCTTGGTTAGACTATTCCTAGGTATGTATGTATGTACGTATGTATGTATATATCTATTTTTGAGTTCATGAGATTGTTTTCCTGATTTCTTTCTCAGAAGATTTATTGTTTCTACATAGAAAAACTATTGATTTTTGTATGTTGATTTTGTGTGTTGATTTTGTTTGTTTTGTTACTGGAGATTGAATTCAAGGGCACTTAGCCATTGAGCCACATCCCCATCCCTTTTTTATTTTTTATTTTGAGACAGGGTTTCACTAAATTTTATAGGATCTCACTAAAAAACCTATGCAACTTAGTGAGGCTGAGCTGAACTCAACTAAGCTGAGGCTGGTGTTGATCCTTCTACCTCAGCCTCCCAAGTCACTGGGATTATAGGCATGTGCCACAATACCTGGCTGTATGTTGATCTTGTAAACTGATACTTTGCTGAATTTATTAGGTCTAGAAGTCTTTTTGTGCAGCTTTTTGTATCTTCTAAGTACAGGATCATATCATTTGTAGTGACAATATGACTTCTTTTTTCCCTATTTTTACCCCCTGTATATCTTTCTCTTGCCTAGTTGCTCTGGTTAGAATTTCTAGCACTATATTAAATAGGAGTTATGAGAGTAGACATACTTGTCTTGTTCCAGATTTTAAAGGAAATGTTTTCAGTTTTCCTCCATTTACTATCTTGTTGGCTTTAGTTTTTTTTGTATATTGCCTTTATGATATAGAGGTAGGTTTATGCCTAGCTTCTCAGTGTTTTAATCATGAATGGGTGCTGAATTTTGTCAAAGGCTTTCTCTGCATCTGTTGACTGTGATTTTTGTCCTTAATTCTAGTTATCTAGTCAACAACATTTATTGATTTGTGTGTGTTAAACTTTGCTTGCATCCCAGATAAACCAACTTGGTCTTTTTTTTTTAATATTTATTTTTCAGTTTTTGGCCGACACAACATCTTTGTTTGTATGTGGTGCTGAGGATCGAACCCGGGCCACACGCATGCCAGGCGAGCGCGCTACTGCTTGAGCCACATCCCCAGCCCCCAACCAACTTGGTCTTGATGTACAATATTTTAAATATGTTGTTGAATAAGATTTACTAATATTTTATTAAAAATTTTTACAGCTGAGAGTGGTAGCCCATGCCTGTAATCCCAGCAGCACAAGGAGGCTGAGACAGGAGGATCATAAGTTCAAAGCCAGCCTCAGTGAAAACGAGGTGCTAAGCAACTCAGTGAGATCCTGTACCGAAATAAAATACAAAATAGGGCTGGGGGGTGTGGCTCAGTGGTTGAGTGTCCCTGAGTTCAGTCCTCAGTACCAAAATGAAAAGAAATTTTACATCTGAATTCATCAAGGATATTGGTTTGTAATTTTCTTTTCTGTGTCTTTTTTGGTTTTGGTATGTGTGATGCTGGCTTCAATTTGGAAGTGTTCCATCCCTTTCTATTTCATGGAATAATTTAAGAAGCATTGACATTAGTTGCCGCAGTCCGGCTGCAGCAAAATAACCGGGGGGTGACGAACGACTTGTGCAGATTGATACAGCAGGAGTAGGAGCCGTTTATTGTAGGACCGGAGCGATATTTATACATTCCACACAGCTTATCTAATTAGCATAAACTAGATACATCAGTCAACCAATAAGGAATCTCCAC